AGAACGCCTCGAGAGTTTTGCGCGCTTGCGTTCTTGTTTCCTGTGCGAGGATCGTGACACGAACTTCAAAGTCCTCCCCGTTATGTCTCTGGGTTTATGCGTGCCTAGCGGGGTATTTGGTTTATGTTTACCGGCTAGGTGTTCCTTTATGCGGACACAGAGAGGTCTGCCCGTTCCGTCAATGTATTCGTCTCCGCACGCCTTACAGGAGATCAGATAAACTATACCCGAGCTCATGTAATCACCATCTTTACCATTGGGGCAAATTATGCAATTTTGCGTTGCACATAGACGGTCATATAGTCGGTTACGAACTAGCCGGCGCCTAAGATTACTCGGTGGCATTTCAACTACGTTTACCGAATTCTCTAGACCGATCCTTCTTAAGCAGCGTTTTATAGCTGCACTTACACCATTTGAGATGAAGGGTAGAATAAACGGAACCTTTTTGTCGCTAGAGTTATCGTTTGGGGGCCACCGATTTCCCTACACCTATCACGAGCTGCAGTTTCGTAGCCATTGGAAATGGCTATTTGCCGCGCCAAGTTCCGGGAGTCCTCTCTCTGCTCTCTTCAAGTGCACACGTTGCTTGCTGTTCGAAACATGCTTCTTACAAGCGCTCTTTTCGTGTGAGAGGGGTGAGAAGAGAGGTAATGTACCAGGATGTTTTTACTACTTGGCTTTCGGTACCACTTCGTAATGTAGCCATTTTCTGATAGGTTAATTTGGACGTTGAGGAATGGAAGCCATTTTTCTTTCGGTTTCTCTCGGGTTTCTAATTCTTTGTTTTTCCTCGTTGACACAGGTCGGAGCTTCGGATTACTTGCCTAACTTGTGTGACACAGGATACTCTTATCATCGTCCTTTCCTTTCAATTGCGCGTTCAATAATGCTGGGTGATTTTTACCCTGCCCACGCAGCGACCAGGTTTCTGACCCATACGTTAAGGCAGGAGGAATGGTGTAGCCGAAAATGTGGGCACAGAGTCGAGTGTTCTTTGTTCTCTTCACTAAATCCTCAATGCTCTTGAAGGATTCCCAAGCTGCTCTTTTCCTTCTGCTCAACTCTAAAGCTAAGCCATTTATCATATTGATTTTCCGACCTAGATAGACATTAGTGGAGCATTCTGAGATATTTTTATACACCTCAAAAAGAATATATACTCATTGAGAACTAGTGGCACTGCTCAGGGCTTCCATGACTGTTGCTTTCCCAACTGAGTCAAAAGCGTAGTAATATTTCGTGTAAGTTCATCAAAGAAAGAATACATATTGAGTCAGAAGCCTTCTTCAAATCGACAAAATTGAGAGACAACGGTCTGTTCTACTCTCCCGATACTTCAATAAGTTTTTTTTATAGCGTGAATCTGGTGCATAGCACGAGATCCTTTCGGAACCCTACTTGCTCACATGGCTGTCCATCTTCAAGTGTTGTATTAATCCCGTCTAAGATTACTTTAGGGAGAAGTTTGTAGACGGAAGAGAGTAAGCTGGATGCGTGACGGTTGCCGATATCGTTTTTCAACATAGGCACGGTCTTGCTGATCTTCTACCGACTAGGAACATTTCTTTCAGACAGATAACGTGTCAAGAGCCGAGTCAATGCTCTTTTGAGGACTCGCCGAGGGTTCTTAGGTACTCGGATCACATCGTGTCCAGACAAAGTGTTAGTTGATTCTTCACCGACGAAATAATGTGCAGAATTTCGGTAGGCAGAACGTCTGGCACAACATATCCATCCACCTTTATTTCGCACGAAGACAAGGTAACATAGCTATTAAAGAGATCCGAGTAGTAATTCTGAACGATTTTCTCCATTTCCTTACTGGAAGCTGTAACTCTTCTTTCTGAGCATCGAAATTCGATCATCTTAGTTTTATAATTAGCGAAGCTTTGATGTTCTTTTCAACTAATTTACCTATTTTTTGCAGCTTTGAGCACAACTGATGCTTTCCTTCTATAACTTCTTCGTTTATCGCATGTTTCTACTGTTTTGCAAGTTCGGACGTTAGTTCGCGGTTGCCTGCTGCCCGTGCGATTCCACGCTGGCGTATCAGGTCGACTGTTTCTGGTGACAGACGTCTCTTGGTGACTTTCGAACTCCCAGCTTTCATAGCGCTAAAGTGTTGATGTTGAATAAGCAGATCGTATTCTTCGTCGATGTTGTCCAAAACGCCATATTTCCAACAGCCGACTAATGAGTTGAATAAGTTCCAATTTATAGTGGTTTCAGGACTTGGTTTTTTTTCAAAAATTAGCGGCTCTTTCTCCTTGTCGAAAGAAATTAAATCTTGCACGAAGAAGGCGATGGTCTGATCCTTTGTAGAAAGTTCCGACAACAGCGACGTCAGTTAGGCAAAACCTTCGATTTAGTGTAACGTGGTCTATATCGCAATGGTACTGTCCTTAGGAGACTCCCACTTCCAGCATTGAGGGTGTGCTCCTGGAATTTCTGAGTTACCATGAATGATCTTGGTCATCATGATAATTCTAGGCAATTGCTTACGCTTCTCGTTCCATTCTAATCCCCTGGTCCTAAATGTGACGTTCTTCACTTGTTTTTCTTTTTCCAATCTTGGCGTTGAAATTTCCAATGATGACGTTGAAGAATGTATGGTCTTCTCTGTAGAACTTTTCCAAATCCATATAGAACACTTCGACTTCTTCTTCATCATAGTTTGATCTAGGCGCGTAAACGACGAATATTGTCAAAGCCGGTATTGATCCACATCTTTACAATCGAAAACGTCCGAATAGGGTTATCAGCTGCTTGAATGAATCGATGTTCATGGTAAAACTGGAGATGAGCAGAACGCGGGCGCCGCACACTCTTCTAACTATACCTCTACTGTAGCAGGTTCCAAGGAATAGTTCACCTGCGGTGTCAAAGACGGCGTTAAAAGGGTGGTGGCTACTCGTCTCGGCCAATCCGATGACGTCGTACGCCGTCCTTCTTGCATGCACAATCAAGTCGTCTATCGAAAACTCAAATGTATGTGTGCCTGATTGTAGCTAGAGATCGTCAACTTACTTCTTTGCAATTTAGGCAGCGTAGAATGGCCCAACGCTGCGAAATTGGAGGCCCTTTGAGGTTCAGGGGAATGAAGCCCGTTTTTTTAAATGTGTTTAGCATTTTGATACCCACGTATAGCTTGCTGTGCTCTGAACCTCGAAGGGGAGTATACTCATGGGTAACTTGCCACCCCGTCTACCATTTACTTCCCTGTTACTTGGTCGCAGACTTTTGGTCGAATCGACTCGCAGAATGCAACCTGAATAAACGAGGACACATCCACGCACGCATGCATGATTATGCCTTCGCTAATACAGAAGGAATGTGCCAAATCGGCGCAGCAAAACAAAGAGATTAACCCCTGGGTTCACCTAGGTCTCAGAGATGCAGTGGTCGCTTTTGGTCCGCGATTAACCCCAATCCACCACCTGGATCCGCGCCACGTTGCTTCGCCGTTAACAGTCATGGGATCCCTCCATGAGGGAGATCCGTTGTGTATGAATGCATATTGAAAAAAATGACGTGTAAGGGCCTACTTTACTATGTCAGTGTTTTATATTGCTAAATAAGTCCGATATCAATTTCCGAACGTGGAGGGATGAGACGTTTCGTGAGCCTAGGGCGCAGGATCGAACTATCCAGGTCGATTCAGTTTCTATCACAGGGCTCTTCTAACCACTGCGCTACAAGCGCCCCACGAAATCTAGTAAATTATTTTTGAAAGACCATATTAAAACTCACACTTGCGAGATATTGGAGACCTGTTCCTGTGCAGCTAGATATCTAGCCATATTGAGCAGTGTCTCAGGAGTGTGTGTAGTGAATGGCTGATTCTGAAGAATATTGAAGATTATCAAAATCACGGCGACACAGGACAAAAAGGTTTTCTAACGACGAACAATCGGCAACACGGCTTAGACTACCCAGTGGAGTTCGTAAGTTGGCAACACATAATTTCTGTTCACCTAGATTATTCCGATTGAAATTATTCCCCCAAACACTACGAAGATCATGATAAAAAAGACATAAATAAAATTCATACGCAGCCGTCTTTTGATTTTATTTTAATGGCTGGTACAGTAACCAAAGTAAAACTGAGAAACTAACGCAGTATAAAAAGATAGCGTGGTAGGCATAATACATGTCGGCCAATTTCGAGCTTGAGTAGTACTTTGGGATAAGAGAAGGATTATCCTTAGCTCGTTCCAAGTATTGCATGCTTAGTAACCAGTGATAGTGTCTGAAATCAGATCTATTAACGTACAGATTTCGCAGAAGTAATAAGACGACATGGAATATGGAATATGGAATAAGATGGGACAATATAGGCAATATATGGATAGACGGGCACAAAAATGTTGAAAAGCTTTCGGATATCTGCAGATGGTAAAAGGAATATATAAATTCGATTAGATCCTTTGCAATGTATTTATGTTAATGAAAACACAGCTTGGCTAGAATACCGACTCTCAGGTTACGAGCAAAGGTAGTAAAGGTTTAAGCAACTATGAAAACCCGAAATCCTGTAGGAAGTATGGCAGAAGTAATGGGATAAGCAAGATAAAAGGATAAAGGATAAAGCTCTTGGCGTCGATCAATCCCTGGGGGATGCGCCATGCATTAGACCTCATCAAACATCGTTTGGAGGTGATCGAATGCACATCTGGCCTCTATAATTACTCTCGGTGGCGTACCGATGTATCCAGCCAGTGCTGCTATCCTCCCAGACAAGTCTGGTACTAATTTGCCGACCCCGAAGGAATGGAAGGGTTGGTGAGCCACGAGCGAGGGGATCGATCCCATATGTGTGTCACAGGGTGCCTCCGACCACTGCACCACGCGCGCCCCTGGATCACAGGATGAACATAGGAATAGAAAAAATAAACCATTAAGTATAACTGGAGAGTACTCTTCTTTTACTATAACATGTCAAGCACTCAAAGATTTCAATAATGAATGAGCATCATCTGGATAAATTCAGACCTAACTCACCCAGCATCCGCGAAACGATTCTCATTGACGGCGTTACTAGTAAGCTGCTCGAGAACCCATAAAGCTTCCTGATCATGCCCAGCTTTATGGAATGCTAAAATCACGGCAACAGTTGCTTGGTAAAGTTGAATCTCGACAGATAGTAACTAATGGCTCCTCTGCCATAATATTACTGAACACCATCCAGGAAGGAAGGAGGCTCTTCTCTTTAACGTAGAGATGACTACGTTTACAGTGACAGACAAGTAAGCATGCAACGAATAGATTACATTGTTCCATTAAGCCTTACCATTCTCTACTGTCAACGATAAAAAGAAAACACCCTGCTTATGTTAAGAAGATTCTAAGAGCCGCCTTAGTTCATATGTGAAGAAAATGTAAGCGACTAAAGTAACCTTTCTGAGCTTCCTCAAATTGGTCGCGCTCGGCAAGATATCTGGCATATGGAAGATAGACGTCTTCGACAAAATTCGGGTACCGATCGGCAATTGCAAAAGCCTAAATGATGATCTTCATAAACCAAAAACTTAATTCGACAGCAAAGTTCCATACGCAAAGTTATTTGTATTGTATGAATAGCGACATGTTGCACAAATAGGTAGACACCAGAAATAGTTTGAAACTGATTAGATTATGAGTTTTCCTTCGCTGTATCCAAACCCAATGGGAAGTCTTCAAATTTTTTGTTTTCATGCGCTGAGTTTGCAACAAGGTTATTGAATAAAATAAGACGAAACCAGTTCTACGTGACCCTATGGCATTATAGAAATCCACGAAGGAAGAAAGTAAAGTAGTAAACAGGAAATTAAAAGCGCACACTCCTCTTTTACACTCACGTCAGTCCAGTGCCCGGCCGCGACGTACATCTCGATTAGGGCCCTGATGTCGTTGATTTTGCCGTAGATCCTAGCCGCCAGGCTGAATTCGAACTTCCGAACAAAGTACGCGGCCAATCGTCGCTGACTGCTCACATCGCTGTGATCCAGCTTTCCTATCACGTTTATCGCCCTTCAAGATGATTTTATGACTAAGAAACTGTCAGCTAACTGTCAGACGTACCTTCACAGCATCTATTTTATCTATGAAATATGTTAATCGGTGTCGTTAATTTTAATGATGCTGAGATATTTGTAAAACTGCGGGCCGCAGGTGTCTACGGTGGTGAACGAACGCTCTATTGTTTGTGTCGTTTTCTTGTTCAGCAATCGCGAGGTTTTTAAACAGCATACATTTACTTCCATAGAGAAACACAATGCAATACAACGCTAGCTGACGTTTCGGCAGTATCGCCTTCTTCAGAGCCGCTTTTTCGTGACCTCTAATGAGGAAGTTTAGAACAGTTGATTATAGTCGCATGTGGTTGACCAGGTCAGATTGTATATCAGTATACCCTTCCAGGCTCTGAAGAGGGCGACACTGCCGAAACGTCAACTAGCGTTGTATTGTATTGTGTTTTTTATGGAAGTAAATGTATGCTGTTTAAAAACCTCGCGATTGCTGAACAAGAAAACGACACATTCATATTCCAATGCCGAGGTTAAGAGAAAGTCGATCCTGGGAGCTCTATTGTTCGTCCTTTTCGGGAAGTAACGCGTTCACCACCACACCATGCGGGTCCTTCGTTTCGCCTGTCTCTCAGCTATTTCTATCGTTCAGTGCTGTCAGCAATCACCCGTCAGCGGGATTGATCTGGGAAGACCAAATCGGCAACGAACCCAGTTAAGCTGAGGCTGCAGTTATAATCACAATTTTAACTTATTATTTACTGCCTACTCTTTTAAACGGCAGGGTACACATTGCTCATTATGACGTAATCCTACATTGTTTCTTGAAATAACATTGCTTCCTATTTCACTAATTCCAACTATAAAGTGTCGGCGATTGACTACCAGCAAAAAGTAAGAAAATTGATAACTCGTATATAATGCTGAGATATTTGCAAAACTCCGGACCGCAGGTGTCTGCGGTGGGGAACGAACGCGCTATTGTACTTTCCGGGGAGTAACGCGTTCACCACCACACCATGCCAGTCATTCGTTTCGCCTGTCTCTCAGCTAGCTCTATTGATCTTCTCCCATCAGCAATCACCAGTCAGCGGAATTTATCTGTGAAGCAGAAAATCGTTATTGAACCCTGTCAAGCTGTGGCTATAGTTGCAGGCCGGAGTTTTGCAAATATCGCAGCATCATTATGGTTGTATTTCACATAGTATCCTGCCGTAAGAAATTGTAATGGACAGCAAATAAAAAGCGAGCATTGTGATTTAACTACAGCCTCAGTTTAACAGGTTCAGTGCCGACTTGGGCTCCCTAGATCAACCCCGTTGACGGATGATTGCTGGTGGTACTGGTAGATAGAAAACCAGCCGACAGACAGGCGAAATGAAGGACCCGCATGGTGAGACGGTGAACGCGTTAACCCCTGAAAAGGTAATAGCGCGTTCGTTCCCCACTCAGACTACTGCGCAGTTTTGCGAATATCTCAACATCATTATTGTTGTGTTTCCTTCTACACTTCACTAAATTTGCCATAGATTTGGTATTTTCATAAAAATCATTTCTATACATAGTAAGTGTCTATACTTAAGCAATTATCTTCAAGAAAAAGTCTTCGAAGATGCTTTATTTGTTCTATAAATTCAGAAACCCTCTCAAAGAAGAAATACAGGACCCTCTATGACAACCCATCATTTACGATGCTCAGATTACCATTCGGCTACAACTTGAGAATAGGATTTGTTCTTCATGAATGCCGTAGACAACTGCTCAAGTATGATTCTCCCTGAAATTATGGGATAGCCTTGTTAGAGTTTTCCCAAATGCTCACCATAGGCAGTTTTCATTATCCGAACACTAGGAACGTTCTACTGCACGTTTAGTAGAGAAATTGGAATTCGAAAATTGGGATTGATCGATCACACAAGATTGCCGTTGCTAAAAGTGGATCAATCCAGATAGAAGCTTCCTCTAGTTTGTTCTACATGATTCTGCAACGAGATTATTCCAAAACACATATAACCAAAAATGGCCCTGCTAAACCTTAGGTAAGTTCTTCCTCAACTCAGATTCAACCATAACCTCACCTTAGTAGCTCAATTGTTCCCTTCCTGCTTTCGAAAAGAATTTCAAAATGCAGGACGAAGTCAAATTTACCATTTTCGCTTTCTCTGTTTGTACGGACAAAATTTGTTACCAGAACGAACCAAGGTTATGGCAAATGGCGATAATCTAAGCAGTAGTGAACTATTAAGATATTGGATGATTTCTCAATGTCTGAGTAAAAAAAATGATATGCAAAATTTCTATAACGGTGCTGAAGCTCTTGACCAACAGGTGAATTGAATTATACATAGAACTAGCTGACAGGCAGGCAAAACGAAGGATCTGCATGGTGTGGTGGTGAACGCGTTAGCCCCGGAAAGGGTAACAGCGTGTTCGTTCCCTACCGCAGACACCTGCTGTCCGGGGTCTTACAAATACCTGAGCAACGTTGTGGTTGTATTTCGCTTAATACCCTGCCGTAAAAATTCTAGTAGGCAGAAATTAAAAAGTAAAACGAACTGGATTAAATTCCGCACTACTACGAAAACTTCACAACATAATGCTCATGTGACATCATCCGCATTCCAACCAGTTAACTTCATAAACAAATGAAGCGCTCAACCCAAAATAAACATACAAATCCATCCAATCGTTTTCAGCAATCAACTGTACAGCTTTATCGAGATCTCCGCTGGAAATGAGCATTTCGGCGGCGACTTTCGGCTGGTTTGAGTTCTTTGCCCAGTCAGCACGTTTCCGCATGAGCATTCGCTGGGTCTCACCAGAGGCGGCCGCCATCACTTCCTGAAAAGGCGCGGACTACAGACAGTAAGAGTCTCTAGAAGACCTAAAAACTGTATTTTAGTAAAGAAATAAAAGGGCAGTCTTGCTCTGCTTAAGGGTCGCCCATGAGGAATGATACAGATTGTAAACGAAGAAACTAAAAAAACTAAAAACAATAAAAGATATTCAGGAAAGCAAAAGTAATCTAAAGTAAGAATGAAATTTTTGAAAACCGACTTTCCCTTACCCCCGCTATCACTAATCAATACGCATTCTTTCCTTGATAAGATTACACGAGGTTGGTAACGAAGTAATCGATATGAATGAAGTTATTCACTGCAAAACATAACAACCTTGTATTGCAAATGACGAGGAACTGAGTACACAAGTATTGGATGGGTACTTAAAAATGTTCCAGACTCTTGCATTCGTATCGAATACTTTACACTTTATATATTAAGTCGGAAATGACCCTTCTAAAAGTCTTATGTTGAGGAAACGGATTTGGGTTGTTCACACTTTTGTACAGCAGGTTTAGGAAAAACTCTTAAGTTGGAAGCACTCAGTTTTCTAGGCAGAAGAAATCTACCGGCTTCGCTATTACAATTGAAATTTACTTCTACTTGCATCACGTGGAAAATCTACGCCAAAAATCGTGTAACTATAAGTTCTAGGTGCTCACTAATGATTTCGTAATAGTTTCGCCATAACAATTCTGTAAACAGCCCAATAGCTTTATGGCTAACAGTGCAAAAACAATGCCACTTCTATAAACGAACTGAGAAGGACAGAACAAAACTTGAAAAAATAAGAAGTCAAGCAAACTTTCGGGAAATAAACCAGCTAAAAGGAAGTGGGAGGTGTTTGACAACTCAAGCAGCAGCAGTGACATCAATGTTGTGCAGCTTCTTCGTTCCTTCTAATGCTCGGATTCCAAGCTCACCTGTGCATCGTCGAACATTCGTAGGTCGGTGAACAACTGCATGGCGCGATTCTCATCGTCATTGGCCCGGTAGAGCGCGGCCGCCTCGTGGAACTTGCCCTCGTAGCAGAGCACATGGGCTCGCAGAATATATTCCGGCTCGTTAGCCGCCATCATTGCCTGAAAATCGTCTCCAATGATCATGTGGTGACAGCCCTATGCCTCTGATCTTGAAAAATAATCTTATTTTGGTAGAAATCTGGAAACGTTGTGGAATCATCTAAGTGGAAGCAGATGTAACGCTCCCAAACTCTCAATTCGTTTTCACTACCAAGATGTATGAGACCAATTAAAACGCTTGTATGTTAAAGAACAACTTCTCTGCTCTTTCTCCATTTTAATTCCACGTATCTCTTTCGAAAATTAAACTAATTCCTATTGTAGGAGTCAAAAAGAAAGAAGTCACACCACGAATACAGAATTGTTTCGACATAAAAAAGAAGTGAAGACGCAAAGTATGAATAGTTAAGGAAATAAAGAAGCATTCGTTTAAAATGAGAATACAAATTCACTTTCATCCATAGCACATAACCGTCACATCATTACAAAACCTGCTGCGTGGAATCCAGCTCTTCATCTATTCAATTTATTTTCTCTCACCTAAGAAGGTCTTTTGATTTGCGTATAGGTTTAGCAGATGCTCAAAGATTTTCGCATTTTTATGGATATCGAGTACGCCTTGGGGTGGCCGTCCCAGAGTGGACCCACGTACTTGTTACCCACAGACCACTTTGGATCGGAATGACAAGTTTGGTACCAATTTTTTGACTCCGAAGAGACGGAAAGCTTTGGCTATTCCAGGGTCAAACAAGGGCTCCTCAATTTTTATCTAAGGGCATCTTTGCAACTATACTAATCCAAGCTCTTAAGAATATTCTTCTTATCCTACAAAAATACAGCTGCTGCTATTAAGTAGGACCATGTACTGTTAAGAACTAGTTATTGGCAGATACCTTTACCATGACCTTTAAAATAAATATGTAACCCTCTTGAATGGTTCAATACCCGGTTCTGAATAGGATGTTCTATGAATGTGGAACTGTGAGGTATCGAAGGTTCATTATCAGGCAACGTTTCTAAAGTCAAGAAAAAGTTCGACATTTTCATCCCGAAATTCAGTTGTGAGTGAACCAATTTCAGAAATCGTCGGCCTTCTGGAAGAAACAAGAGAGCCATATGGTGGCGAATATCCTTCCGATCCGCAACAATTGACGTCTGCCTGTGATGACAACCACATGGGAAGTTTCTGTCATTTCCACGAAATCAAAAAGAATTTATTTTTAGCAGGCTTCCGGGTCTTTTAACGTCCCTCTTATCCTCTATGTTCTTCTATGCAATTCTGGAAATTTCTAGCTCTTGCTATGATGGAAAAAATTTTGCTCGCCTACCACACAAACACGATATGGGTAGCTCTTTGATAATCGGCTCCACAATGTACGTTTAGTATGCTTCGAAAGTTTCACACATCTTCTTTAAAATATCCACCTATAATACCAACTTTTATTTGTTGCCTATTATTTTTTCAAAGGCAGAGTATGATGTAAAATACAACCATTATGATACTGACTGAGATATTTCCAAAGTTTGTACCCCAGGCGAGATCGAACCCGTGACAAGCCTTTCCGAGGGTACACGGGTTTCCCATTGAACCACTGAGACCCTTTCTTTGTCGAGTTGTGATTTCGACTGCAGTCTCATCTTAACAGGGTTCAATACCGATTTTTGCTCTCCGACCATTCGCGTTCATGGATGATTGCTGATGGTCCCGTTAGGTAGAAAATTGACTGAAATAAAGGCAAAGCCAGGGATTCAGTGGTGCAGTGCGCCATTGGAAAGGGTAATCACGGATTCGATCTGGCCTGAGGTACAAGTTTTGTAAATATCTCAGCATCATAGCTGTTCTATTTCAAATATACACCTATATTTGAGCAAAACTTAGGTTAGGTGAAGTCAGATGATAAGTCATGGAAGTTATGAGTGGGGAACTGGAAATGATGAAGAAGTGAACGTGTTCAACTAAATGCGAAGTTCATTCAATGTATGACCACTTAGTTACAACATATGTTCCTCTGATGCTACTATGTTACAGTGAATAAGAGAAACCTTATATGAATTGATGAATGATGCGAAACTAAGCGTCAACCTTGATTTCATGGACGAGTTGTATGCTGCGATGGTCTTTGTATCGGGCGAAAGCCTTGAGAGCGATTTCACAATTGAAATCGGAGATAGCTGCCATACCCAGAATCTGCCAGTCTTCCGTTGTCACTCCCAGACAAGCCAAATCGTATGCTTTTCTGCAAACCTAACTACAACTGCGACAGAATACGGTATTCTCTAAATGGTTAATTGGTTCTTTGAAATTACAGAGTTATAACGACAACTCGACATTGAAAAAATGTAGATCAATTGTTAAAATCCACAAAACATCCATTGCGGAGGAATAAATAGCAATTAAGGCTACACTTTATGTCAAGGTGTTACATTCTTCCTTGCAACTTTTCTAACTTGTTGTCCAAGTTTTTACTGCAGAACTAAAGTAACCTGAATGATCTGATGTACAACGTAGTAATATTTTTTCATGAAATTCAGATTGCTTAATTTGCCCTTACGGCAGGGACGGTGATTGATTGATTGATTGCATAAGTTCAGGTACGATATACCTGATCTCTTGTAATAATTGCGGAGATGAATATATTGGCGAAACGGGCAGACCTTTGTGTATCCGTATAAAAGAACACCTAGATGGCAAACGAAAACTAAAACGAAGCACCCCACTAGGCACGCATAGGATACAAAAGCATAGCGGAGACGATTTTGAAGTAAAAGTTAATATCCTTGCACAGGAGTCCAAAACACCAGCGCGAAAACTCCTTCAGGCTTTGTGGATCAATGCCAAAAACCCTACAATGAATAGCAGGGAGGAATACCCAGAGCTCATACGCAACCTGACTCCGTATGTTCGCATCAATTTCTGACGTGGGATGGTGTAGTCATCAACCATATGCGACTATAATCAGCTGTTCTAAACTTCCTCAGTGGAAGTCACGAAAAAGCGGTGGGTTTTTTCGAGAAGTTGTTGATCATGTAATTACCAAAGAGTCTTTCGTCTTTTTGTAAGTGTTATTGAAGCGTTTGGCCTAGTAGATTGTATATCAGCATACCCTTCCAGGCTAGGAAGAGGGCGATACTGCCGAAACGTCAGCTAGCGTTGTATTGTATTGTGTTTTATGGAAGTAAATGTATGCTGTTTAAAAACCTCGCGATTGCTGAACAAGAAAACGACGCATTCATATTCCAATGCCGAGGTTAATGGAAAGTCGATCCTGGGAACTATGAAATTTAGACTTTAAAATGTTGGAAAAATTAAAAGCGAAGAGATTTCAGATAAAGAAAGGCGCTGTTTAGGTTCAACCTAGAACAGTAGAATAAAATAGGGTGCTATGCTTTCGAAAACCATGGAAATTGGTGGAAAACTATGAAAGGCTATTTGCAGAATTTTCTCGGTATTACAACTCTCGCCTCTTTCTAGGACGAGTTTCTCTACTAATGACAACAAAAACGGGCGAGGATGCGGTGTCAACAACAACCCAAACAAAACTTGAACGCATTAAGTAAAATTGACATTACAAACATCAGTAGATGACTTGATTGAACTTACTGATACTCCTTGTTTTCGATGTATTGATAGAGTTGATTGGAAAACGGAACTTCTAGAGCCTGCATTGCATAGATATGCAAACAGTACACTTTGTTTCCTGAGAATCCTACGACGAACCCCTGAACAGATGCTTTTTGAAGTTAAACATCGCATAAAGCTCAATTCGGTCCGGATTTCAGAGTCTACGTCTCAGGGTTGTCAATAAATTTAGAATTCATATCTACACAAAGACACTCCACGATTGGTGATTTGCAGCTCGACAAAACTGGGTCACGTTTTATTTTCAAAACGAATACAATTGTGCTTAAGGTGATCAGAAAGAAAGAGGTAGTGAAAATAGGAGACTTAGCACCAACCAATGATGAACTTCTCGTAAACGGAAAAAATCCATTTAAGTAGAAGTCAGTACGACGACGGAAAGAGATTAATTTTTACATTCAAAGTATAACCAAAAAAACCACAAAAATTGGCAAAAAAATAAGTCCGGGAAGTGAATTTATGGATGAAGACAACGAAGCAACTGACAAACATTCTCTGCTGGTGTCCGGGATATCCTCGTGCTCGGATGGTCAACTTGGAACTACCCGAATAGCAAATGATTTCCTCATTATCGCTGTTGAACGCAACACTATTGCAACTGGATTCCTAAATCAAGTTGAAATTATGTAATATTATCTACCATTTTTACTTAAATAATAAGAAGTAGACCGCAGAGGGCCCTCAGTTTAGTGACTAAAAGACACCACCATGCTTAGGCCACTCAATAAGTTAATGGAAGTAGATTTGCTCTGCACCAAAAATATGGACACCAGAAGTCCACTGAAAGAAAGCTCATTGTTTTGTCCCTTGTAGAATCAGTCCACCATCACTTAGCCAGGATTAAATGTCCAGATGGCTTGGTTAGCCCTGGGACAGACGATAGACATACTTTTTACGTAACGCTGCAGTGCACATTACGTGCCAGAAAAACATTTTAAAAAACGCTCGGTAAGCGAGCATACGGTATAGCACGAAGCAGAAACAGGTCCAATGTGGAAGAAAAAGCATTACGCTTTAAAACTGTCTACGCTTTGTATATCCACATATTCACTGGCAATGGAAGTTAACTGACGAGTGAAGCGAGGTGCACTAGAAGCACTTCCAAGACAAAAAGAAAAAAACGTTTGAACATAAAACTCTAAGAGAAAACGCACTTCAAACAGGACTTCCTTTGTCTTCGCATCAAAAACCACACATAATCCGCTATCCTCGACAACAGCTATGTATCTTCTGTAAAGAAGATCGCCTACCACTGAAGTTTTGCACTTCGTGAATAAATTCAACAAATATAATAATGTGACAATAATAACAACGATAGTGACAACAAAAGCAAACGTAAATAAAAGCAAAAACAAGAGTTCACATCGGTGATGATCTTATTTAATTTTATTTATTCATGTGGCCCTGCCCGACTCCAAGTATTTCGCGACCTCCAGCAAGTCTTCCATTAGAGTTCTTAGTGACGCCTCTCTCATCCGCGAAAGTGTTCGAACTTGCGCATAGTTTCGGATGCTTGAGAATTTTTCTTTATCAAAGCTGAATAAATCGGTTCTCCTTAAAATCATGTACTAATCGTACTAAGGCGTTGCCAAACCTTTCAATACAAGTTCTCGCGGGCCTTTGTTAATGAAATAGAGCCTTTTCAGAAATTCCGACATAAATCTGTTGAGACCGAAGGCATGAAGCGCCTTGTTGGTTCGACACAGTATCGAACAACGGATCTAGAAAGCGTACTACACGGCATCTAATCACAGCTCTTCTCGCACCTGCATAATAGAAAAGTTGTAACAGCGACAAAAAAAATAATAAAGGGTAAAGCTCTCGGCGTTGATCATTCCATGAGGAGTGCGCAATGCGTTAGGCTTCATTAAGCACCGCCGGAAATGACTGAATGCATATCTGGCTATTACAATGATTTCCGTGGTCTACTGATGCGTCGACCCAGTGCTGCTATTCTTCCAGACAAATCTGGTATCAATTTGCCGATCCTGGATGGATGGAAGGCTTACTGAGCCTAGGACGTTGGGATCGATTTCATGTGCATTGCAGGGCGCTTCCGACCACTGCGCTACGCGCGCCCATTATAACAATGACAGTAATAATAACAGTAATAATAATATTAATAATAATAATGATAATAATGATAGTAATAATAACTACAATAATAATACTAGCCTTGAGGCGCTTATATCAATGCATTTGATTGGGCCATTTAACTTAAGCACTTGAACAGGAAAAGGATTGTCGACAAACAGCTTGCACACCTAAACAAATTGCGATTTGTTGTCCAGACTTAGATCAGAATGCGCCACACACCTGGCCCTCGCGTAATCCTAAGAGGATCGTCTCTCGGCCTGCCGGACCGCCGATCACCTAGAAGTGGTTGCTGAATCTTCAACTCTATCAGAACGAACTTGTTTACTTTACGTTTCAGACTTAACTTTCTTTATGACAAATCATTTTGAAGCTATAAATGTGCTCACAAGAGACAATGTGTTTAAAAAAAGTGGATTCTGTGCCTGCTATGAATATTGAATGACGTTTAGCTATCCAACTTGAATACTTAGTTACTTGGATGGCCACCTTCACTGGTTGTGCGGTCTCCAGCATAATTTCTGTCTTTTTGGCGTTTTGCTGGTCTAGGCATTGCGGTTACCTGGAATCGCGTGGTCAGCCAGGCCAAAGTCTGCCCAGGTACGTCATCACCACGGGCAGTGGGCGCACTTGTGGATCAGAGGGAGATTTTGCTAGACGGTAGTGGATCCTGGCATTGGTTTAGTCTTAGCTGGGCTTCCTGATGGAAACGGCGGACTCCTTCTCCGCTTGAGAGACTCTGCTGGTGGGGAGGGGGGCGAATAGTTCGTCCCAACCCGACACCCGGGACCACCTCCTAGCCACGATGAGGGGGTAAACCGTTAGGAGAAACTTGAATATTACAGCATAATACTGAGAAGAAAAGAAGGCGCAGTGAATAAAAGTTGAAACATTGTGATTTCTACAACCACCGTGTTACTTAAAACTACTCAAAACAGCTCAGAGTGGAATTTGAGATTTCAATTTGTGCCATCCATTTTGCTTCTGTTTATAAAAGATATTCACCTTATAGGGAAATGTAACACATTTTGACTTATGATAGTTGTATATTTCTTTGGAAACATCACCAAGGATCTGGAAGAACTTATTCCGATTTATGCTAAAAAATCTGGAACAAGTCGTACTTTGATGTATCGTATGGCGGAGTCCAATTGCCATTCTCGCTGCTTGAGGCCCTTGTGGTCGTAGCACTGTAGTCGACGCTCGTCGCATAGAATCAGATGGTTCGAACATACCACATAAAATAACACGAAGATAACAACGGGAACCACTAACCACTTGCTGAGAAGATACACCCAAGAAAGACCAGAATTTGAAAAGTACACTAGTAGAAAATAGGTTTTCAAAGAATTTTACAAAAAAAGGAACGGCCAGAACCAATGGAAAAAACAATCCGTGTAAAAATTAGAATACTCCTTGGTGAAAATGTATTTTTAGTTGCAAATTCCTCGAATTAGTTTGAAGCTCCAGCTAAAAACATGGTCACAAGTGTTAAATATTTCTATTAAGAACATATCTCTCAGTACTCCCACGTTAGGTAGTGCTTCCGAAGCCAATTCCATAGATGGATAAACATTCTAGTAAAGTAATTGGTGAAAAAAGTCACGTTTCCACCCAATTCAACAAAATTTGACGTGCTCTTACTAATATTGTTACCCCTGAGTCATATCTAATTCCCTGGGTCCAGTTAATGCTAATGTTTTTCAAATTACACCCAGTCCCCACGCTTAGAACTATGCAAACTATAAATGAGTATCTAAGGCTGAATACAGTAAAACAAATAAATCAGTTTCGCCCCTAAACCTGGAAGCAGCGCCCGATGAGGCAGCGCTGAGTAGGACGACTAGAGAGAGGAATCTCAGGACAATTCTGAGGTGCGTAAATCGCAAAGGGCTAAGGAGAAGATCTGTACCTACAGTGTGCGCTCACTTGCATATGAGTCCTCGGTGTCATGCAGACAAGAAGGATGAGGTACGACGCCATCGAACAAGTTAAAACGAAAATGTACGGCCTATTTAACTCTGATCATGATGCCTGAGAAGAACTGTTACTCGAAAAAGAAACGACAGTAGAAGTGTCGGTGGCGTTGGCGTTCTCGTCAACAGGAGTTTGGCCGTGAACACCTAATCACTCGAACAATTAACAACCCGAATCGAACTTTGATAGTTGAGGTTGATGATATGAGGATCAATACCGGCTTTGACAATTTCCATCGGTTAGGCACCTACATAAAGTTATTATGAAAACGAAGTCGAAACGTTCTATTCGATTTTAGAGAAGTCCTATACATAAAACCGTACATTTTTCAAAGTCATTATTAGAGACCTTAATGATTAGATCCGACACAGAAGAACGTCTGAAAAACGTCACATTAAGACCTATGGATTACAGGGTAATAAGCCCATGAGCGAATCTGCTACATTAAAAAACGAAATCCAAAATCTTCATTAAATGAGATTTGTTTACATCAGCGACCGGCTCTTGGGAAAATGCCATTATTCATAACGTCGACGAGGAATACGATCGGCTCATTCAACATCTTCACTTTGGCGCCATGAAAGCAAGAAGTTCAAAAATCATCAAAGGACATCTGCTTCCAGAAACATTCGAGTTGATAGATCAGCGTGGAATCGCAAGAGCTACAGGCAACCGCCAACTCACGTCCAAACTTGTAAAACAATGAAGACATGCGATTAAAAAAAATCTTAAAGAGAGAAGATTAGTAATTACTGTCGAAGCTGCAAAAGCGAGAATAAGCATTTGCAGAGCCCACTGAAGCTCTCCTTGGATAAGAGACTTCTCAAAAAAAAATGCATCATTCCGACGCATCAAAGAAGGGCAGCGAGCGGTTAAGTTAACTGTTCTTTTGCTGCCTACTACAGCTTTACACGGCACGGTACTATGTGAAATACAACCATGGTGATGCTGAGATATTTGCAAAAACTCCGGACGACAGGTGTCCGTTGTGGGCAAGGAACGCGCTAGTACCCTTTCAGGGTTCACCACCACACCTTGCGACATGCGAAACATGGTGGTGAACGTGTTAGTCCCGTAAAGTATAATAGGACATTCCCTCTCCACCGTAGATACATCCGGTCCGGAGTTTTGCAGGTATCTCGGCATCGTTTTGGTTGTGAACTCTATGCTAGAACTGTGTATTGCGTATGATTTCAGATGAGAATGGTTTGTTGGAAATGGCCATAGATTTCCTTTCGGAAGTACAGTAATACATTATTATCAGTCAGTGTTATAAATTCTATACAAGAAGGGTTTATTAACAGTAGGAGTTTTACGCAAAAAGGGTTGATTCTCTGTAGATTATAGGAAAGGTACTAATTAAAGATGTTGTAAGACAAAGTGTGGCAAAATAAATATTTTGAGTGAGAGGTTTACAACGTCAGTAGGATACAATGAAAATGTGGATAAACAGCACGCGTTCTTTCCAAAGAAATCTTGCTGAATGAGCAGTCTATCCGCGCTTACTTTCCTACGCTCTACAAATACCTCCATACAAGTTTCCTCTAAAAGTTTCACACTGTAAAATAAATGTTTTTGAGCTAAACGTCTAGAATATCGGCGATAAGAATGTGTAATAAGAGTTGGAAATGTATTCTTTTCCCAACAATGCATTTTACTCATTGATAAGAGCGCATTTTGAGGATGGATATTTCTTCTGTATAGCACAAACAAGTCCATATAATTCTCCTCGGTGATTTTCAATCTTTTCGGGACGATGAAATATCCTCAAGTCCTGATCTTCATTGTGCAAGCACCAACAAACATGTTGGTACCCATGGCGGAAAATCGAACAAACAAGCCAATTCTTCTAGGAAGAGTTCTTCGCTACTATAGCGCAATGAGAACACCTATCGCGCCACTATAAAATCTGTATTCGACCTGTCACCGACTGACCGTTAAAGAAGAAAATAAGAGCATCGAAATCAAGATGCAAGGTCCAAGACGTGGAGTAGCGTACATATAGAAATCAATATGCATGGCTGTAAAGGGGTTAATAAACGCCTGTCAGCTCAACAAAACATAACAGCTTTCTGATCAACTCTGACAGAAATTGGAAACCGCTAATGAAAACACTACGAAAAACTCATACGACGAAAGTTGAACTAGAGAAGAAGTACTGATCCAAGCGACTATCGAAGAAGTTTTTTCGGCCTAGGCAACAGATTTCGGTAAGAAGCTTACCAGTAACGAGCAGTCAAATGCCTTATTGATTCGTTCACTGAGAGTGTACTCAAGTTGTTTGTTTTCGCCATCGCCTTTGATTTGTCGATAGATATGAAGCCGATCTGAGAGTTGCACCTGAAGTCAGTAACTTGGCGATTGACCCATAGAAACATTTACCAACAGAATCAATCTAACACATCAATAAAAGCTTATAGAGGCGAATCCGGTTCTTCATTGCTCGACGGATCAATCTCTATTTTATGGTAATTTTTTTTGCACAGGGTTCAGCAAGCTGAGGACGATGCTTGAAATATTCACGATCGGTGTAGAGACTTCGTTCTGAGAATACTACAAAACACAGTTGATCACAATGCTACATATAAGTGAGAAAGTGAACGCATATGGAAGACAAAAAAGCTACAATGAAAAAGCTTGACAGACGTCAAATGTAACTTTCCTGACACAAATCATCTCCAAAAGATATTGAAATATACGAATTTTGGCTATCACACCAAAAAAGTAGCAAGGAACAAACTTTAAGCTTTGCTTAAACCATGAATCTCTAGAGAGACCAAAATGTCTCGCAATACTGAATAACGAACCCTCGCTTTTAAAAACTCTTCTGCCCCATGATTTTTCTGCATCAGAACATATTCTGATTGAGCAGGGGATTCTGCCACAGACATGAAACGGGAATTTGTTCGCAGAAGGTGCAACGTCCAATAACACCGGCAAGGAATAAAAAAGAAAAAATATTGACAAAGTGTTAGGAACTAACTGCAAGTTTATGACCGTAGATGGCGACCTTTCTGACGAGATCGTGACATCGAATGCGAGTCATCGTGTGGTGGACGAGATCCTGCACGACCACGTCGGTCATGTTGTCTCTGAATTAACGCCGATTGACTGGTCCTTTCTAACCTTTTTTTCAAGAATTCCATACGTATGTGTTAAAATTTTGCGCTCTGTGTTTCGAAGGAACAGGACATTCAGGCATGGCAATCAAAGATGGATGTCCTACACAGCATCGTTTTTTCTGCTTTCATCAAAGACACTCATACAGATACAGAAAGGTAGTAATATGAACACAGAAAAAACCGAACTATTTATTCCTTATTTTTCCTTATGTGACGCAACATCAAACGTGCGGATCCCAGAATTTCTTGCATTCGCTTTATCTTCCTCGCAACGAAGATCAACGGAATTTGCGTGTGGGTTCGGCTGCTGCTTGAAAATTTCTTCCTCCTCATGAGTGTCATTTTTAATACTCATCGAGTCCATCTTCCTGGAATCCTAGGATAGCCAAGCAAGAGCGTTCTCAGACCTTCGTTATAGACAAGCACCGTGCTCTGTGGACTCGAGGAAGCTAGTTGACCAGTGACTGGGCCGGTACCAACTTCACGCCTCCGGAGGAATGTTTGACTTGTTTTGTAGAGAAGCAGGATCCAACCAAAGATCCTGTGTGTATTCAAAGGAACGTCTAGCCAGTGCACTACACGCACCACAAAACAAGGTACTTAAAGCACAAAATCATAGAAAAAATGATACTGGATATGGAAACAGGGGCTGGTAACGTATGCAGAAAATTGTACAGAGAGGAAAAAAGTGGAGAATGGGTTTAATGTAAAACTAATGAAGGTTGAACGATGGAACAAAAGGACAGAAAGAGAAACAAAGGAGAAAGAAAGAGAGAAAAATAGAGAGGAAGAGAGAAAATGGACCGAAGATTGGAAGAACTTTTGTCTAGGTTAAATGAATAAAATTTCTCTTATTAAATTTTGCAACACTTCGTAGGAATCTTCAAAGCATCCTCAAATAACACGGTGAAACGAATTACTTAAAACGTATTCGTACGGCGAGAAATTCAAAAAACGGAGTCAATAATTCTATGCATTACCGAAAATGTTTCAGCTACTCTACCTGAAAGCGTATCTGTCCTTATATAAGCCATGTATTGTACTAAACATCAGATTGTAGCAAGCTATAGTACCGTCCACACAACCGACCACTACCGTACTGGGATTCGAAACGGGACGCACCCGTACACACCACACCCACGTATCCATCTGCGCCACGACACCAATCTCGGTGCCTAAATCAAGGACTTCAGAGCACATACATTCAGGCTATTCTGCTTATTGATCTTTTTCTGGTTTGTGGTATGCCAAGGAATCATTTATGTTAGTGAACAAATCGATTAATTGCAGACAAAATACTCGGTTTTAATAAAGCAAAGACCAGAATGCTTTAAAAATGTTATCATTCTAACGTGCTATAGTGACCCTTTCCAAATCATACTTACGTCTCCTGTTCAACATTCATTGGAGCAAAAAAATTTTAGCTATAAGCAACGTGGTTACTTGCAACTAACCGAGTCCAGTATGTAGAGTGACCTGCCGTCCAGATCCACCAAGGAGAAGGAATCGTCCACTAGGGATAAATTCGACGCAAGTCGGGTCATAGTTGAGCAACATGTCATCGCGTTTAACTGTGTTCCCTTCGGGATCGTAGAATCCAACCCGACGGTTCCAATCAGCCACTACCAGCACCTCGGACGTTGGCCTTCATATTTCTAGTAATCATGAGAGAGAAAAAATCCTTATAAAGATATCGACGTTTAAAATCCAGCTTACTGAATCGATAACTTACTAAAAATGTGCTGCATACTCAAACAGTTAAGTATCGAGTTATATTTCGTCGTTAAAATAGATATTTATTCGGCATTCACAGTTATTTTTGAAGTTTTCTGAAGTATAGTGATGTTCTGCCTTCAAAAAAAAGTCCGTATGCATACTTTTTTAAATCTTCGACTTATTTTGCATGTCCTATCTTTCGCATCTACTGCGTGGATTCCGGCATTTATTTCACTTGGCTTGATGTCTTGAATTCACCATCTAAGAATCCCTACACGTTTGTGTGAGGATTCCACTGCTGCTTGAAGATTTTGTATATTATTAAAGAGTGTTAATGAATGCAAGTCAAGTCAGTTCTCCTTGAAATGCTGGAAAGACCATCCTCGCGCCTTCCAAGGTGCTTCTAACATTCAGCCGCCAGTTTTTATTTATTGGAATGAGCCAGATGATTCAAGGCTAGTCTGGTACCAATCTAAAGAGATCGCGGAGAGATGAGAAGCTTAACAGGCGCCGGGGACGTATTATAGAGCTTTGTTAGCAATGAACGACATCATTACCGCTATGCTACCTTCTCCTTTATTATTTTTACTATTAATATTTTTGAAAGCCGACTTTGATTTAAGTTCCGCACGAATAGTCAATATTTTTCTACCACAACGATGCTGAGATATTCGCAAAACTTGTACCCCGGACCAGATCGAACCACGATTTCCCTTTACGGGGAATCGCGCATTACCCACCGCACCACGGAGGCCCTCGCTCTGAGTTCCTCTCAACTAGATTACTATCTACCAGTGCAATCAGCAATCACCCGTCAACGGTATTGATCTGGGGAGCCCACATCGACATTGAACCCAGTTAAGCTGAGGCCGCAGTCGAAATCACAATGTTTACTTTCTTATTTACTGCTTACTACAGTATTTCTTCTATTCACGAGTATTCAGGAGGTTGGTATCGAATCTTTGCTGTGGTTAATTTTCTAGCTCATTTGCCTTCATTCTTCAACTATTTCAAACGTATGGTGTTCCACTTTTCTATATTCAACTCGATGCGACTAAGAAAACACACAAAGAAAAATGAACCATTCTGAACACTCAAGTCATCGTAGCACTGAAGAAGGTGAACACGGGAACGTTAGCCACAATAGTTTTTGGCAACAACCTTGTGTAATCTCGTCAATACAATGAAATATTGTTAAAAGCCGGTAAAATATTTGTAATAACAGTAGTATTGGGTTTCACTTTCTGACCTACTAAAAGCCTGTGGTAAACACTTGGGAACGCGAAGCACGGCTAACCTAGGATTTCAAAGAAAATTAACTAGGCCAGTGCTCATCAACATTCTTTAGTAAGATGGAAAGTTTCGCACAGTAACCGAATCCACATGCATATTTGAAAACCGTGGATAATGGATCGGAGGAAACGAATCGGATGAAAAAGATGGTAGGATCCGCAAAATGTCTGATACAGCGTCATAAAAACAAAAACAAAGTAAGCTGAACAAAGCGTAAGCCTCTCTGACTCATCAATAGCATTAACAAGATCTAAGCATATTTTACTGCTTTAAAGAAGCAAAAAATATATAGTGTACGAACGAAATTTATATGACCAATGCCACTAAACGAACGCTTTTTGTAAAATACTTCGCCTTTTTCACCACATTTTTCTCTCATTCTCCTTTACCTTTTGCTAAGTCTTCTCTATGGGTGAGTACAATAATTCCTAGCACTATTGACAGAGCCGGGAACTTCTGAGGTTAACTCACTCCTCGTCATAAAATCGAGCTGTGGAATCGTCTTGCGGGTGTGGCGAACAGAATCGAAGCGCCCATACCGGCTCGCCGCCAGGCCGTTCGATTTTTGCCACGTATTCGTCCTTTTGCTGAAATTACTGATTCACTAATAGGTTGTAAAAAATTTTGGAACATTTTCAAAAATCAAAAAAAAAGTTTAGAAAGTCGATTTGTAGGGATTTTTACAAAAATGTTTAAAACGCTTTCCGAAGCTTCTACCTGTACGACACATAAGGTAGCTTTTACCACTGCTTATAGAAAGTTACTAGCTTGAAGAGGTTTTCACAGACATTTGAGCTGCACACAAGGGGAATTCATTCGTGACTCCACGATGTTGCAGTCCAGGTCCAGCATTCGCGAATTGACGGCGACACTCGAGATCTTCAATACTGCCAGTAGAAACCATCAAAATAACCCCTTATTATATATAGAGTGCTGGTTAATTTAATAATTCTGAGTGAGCTATCCATTTTAGCTTGGAGGGTCACCGCTTCATTGCTTTTTCAAAACCAATCTTTAAAAAAAACTGTTGCAAAACATAAAATTTAACTTCCTACAACTATTTTTGCTGCCATTGGACACTTTCATGAACTGGCTTCATGCCCAAGAAGAGTTTACTCAGACGAGAGTCTAAGATAAGCTTTTCTCTTGCGTTTAGTGGAGCTTGAAAAGCATTTCATGCTATGAAATGCAAGCGGCCCCATTTAAAAGCAGTATCTTAGTTAGAACAAGGTTCTTTTGTGTTTGGTAGCGTTTATTCATGCGTGCAAGTGTGATTCAATTTCAGAACTTTGCTGGAGAGTTGTATCCCATAAGGTACATCCAGAGGATTTTGCTCTTACAACTTTCACTAGACTCCAGCAAATGATCAGCTACGAGACAATGCCATCAGTGGTCGATCACAGAAATAAAACGAAACCAGTCGTTTTTCCTTTAATAACCATGAAAATTCTGAGCAAAACACATCACGCTTCCAACTAGTTATTTAACCTGTGATAGATAATTATGACCTCTACTTATATTGCAGGATTAGCCTTGTAATGTCATTCTAAAGTAGTTGACACACTTTTTCGGACTTCGACACCGACTCGGACCATCAGCTCTGATGAAAACGAAAACGTCTAAACACTAGCCGAAATGAACCCATTTATCAACCTTGTGTAAGCTCAACAATTTACATGCATGTTGATTAGTCGGCACACTAATCGAACAAATCGCTGGAATGAATACAGTTGCAAGACAGAAAATCTCCTGCTGATCATAAGAACCGGTTAGGACCTGTGATGACGAATTAGAATCGTCCTGGCACGGTCGTCTAGAAATCCCAAGAAAACCGAGCTCATGAAGCATTCCAGATGGTAAAAAATGTACCACTGCTTTATTATATTATTATATTGTTTTAAAGGCCTCAGGAAGCACCAAATATGATGTGATCGACTTTCAAGAAACTAAGAACAATAAGACCATTAGTCGGCAAAGGAACGATGGGACCGATCTTAGGTGAAAAAAACTCCATGGCTTAACGTTGGAGGCGCTCCCACTGTCACACAGCTATTCATTACCCATTTTGCTGAATCTCTTGAGATTCTGCCACTGCATTTTCTTACTTTATGTCTCGCAGTTGCTCATGGAGAGGAGAATCGGAAGCACCACTACCAGTAATGAATATCGGCAGCTCATGATAAACAGCATGAGACATTTTATCAAGATCTCGATAAATTCTCCAGTAATGGAAATTCACTATAACAGATTTCAATACATCTATAGGAAACGGAACAAGAAGAGGACTATTGAATCGAAAATTTTGAACCAGCACATCGTAATATGAATTGAAATTACGCTAACACAACTCGCCGAAGCACGCTATTGTTGAACCGCAAAACGTTAGAGGTCAGAGAGGTATCCGAGGCGCAGCTTCGAGGAAAGTAAAATGGCGGTGTCAAAAAGTGGGTGTACACCCGTTTGTTTCTTGTCCTCTTCACTCTATTCTCCATCCTCTTGTAGATCTCCGCAAATTGCTCGTTTTCTACTACTCATCTTTTAAGATAAGTCGTTCATTGCTCATTCGGAAGTGTTCAATGGCTTTTGCGCCACGGTTGCTTCTTCAATCTCGGTAGTCAGGAGCGTTATGAAACGTCTTAGATGGGTAGAGTGTATAACACATAATGAAACAAGCAACATATAACATAAACGATAAACTAACAAAACTGCCAATATTCTTTATGTACACGAAACCGTCATACGTGCCGATAGCAAACAGAGTTCCGTCACGATTCCACGCACAAGAAGCGCAACGGCCGTTGATGCGCTGCTTGTGCACATTCTTCTCATCAGCCGACCATAAGCCTACAATATTTTGTGTAGAATCTAACCGTTCTTCTCCTTACATTTCTAAGTTCCATGTTTGCGTCGAACTGACGACCAAACATGGGAAAACCTACTAATTTTTTATACTTTTAAATATTGCTATTATACGATCTATTTTTTCTCTGCTGTTTCGAATCATCTCAATCCACGATACTCAACAAGTTGCTTGTCATAGAAAGATTGTGCATTAATTGCTAAAGAAAAACCATCAAATATTTTGTTTGTTGAATTCCTTGTCATTCCAGCTTCGGACGTAACTTCAAAAGGATAAAAGGATAAAGCTCTCCGTGTTAATCAATCCCTAAGGGATGCGCCATGTATTCGACTTCATTAAGCATCGTTTGGAGGTGACTGAATGCATAACTGGCCTTTACAAGGATTCGCGGTGGCCTATCGATGTATCGAGCCAGTGCTGCTATCCTCCCAGATAAGTCTTGCACCAATTTGCCGATCCTGGAGGGACGGAAGGCTTGGTGGGAAATGGGCGTGGGGATCGACTCCACGAGTGTCTCGCAGTGGCGCCTCCAACCACTGCGTCACACGCGCCCAACGTAACTTTATATAGACTAAATAAGTAGTGATCAAACGAATATGGAAACACTGCAGAGTAAATATATTTTTGTTGTCTACGCACAAACACCAAACATCCAATATATCCAACGGATTTTGAATACAAAATAAGTCGCGTGTAGTGCAGGAGTTAGAGGAGTACTGCCATATAAATAGTCGTTAGTACGGACTTTCTCCAAGGGTAGACAAATTGGCAATAGGATTCTTTACGAGATAAGAAACATTAATCCAATACAGCGCTTGGCAACGCAAGTTATTATGCTGGCCAGATACACATTCAACCACCTCTACGAGACTATGAATAGAACTCGTATATAATGCTTTTATCGATCTTTTTTTGCCGATAGAACTAGCTGAGAGACAGGCAAAACGAAGGACCCGGATGGTGTGGTGGTGAAGTGGGCTGCCCCCCGGTAAGGACAACAGCGAGGGTTCGTTCCCCACCGCATATACCTGCAGTCCGGAGTTTCGCAAATATTTCAGCAATATATACGAGTTATATTTTGCAACATACCCTGCCATTAAAAAGGAAAATGGCAGTAAACGAAAGGGTTAAGACTATGAATAGAGTCGAACGCATGGCAGATCGCTCGAGATTTGATTGACGCCGACCGCCTTATCCTTTTATCCCTACTCTAGTCAGATCATCTACAGTACTAGCACAGTTTTCCTATGCAAATTCAAAATTTGCTACGAAGCTCCTGACATTATCAACATTGCACCTCACGATGGAACAATCAACAATAATGTGGTACAAAGTTGCTTCTAAAGGGTCCGCGGTTGGGATTCGGGTCCTTAAAGATGAAAAGAGGTCAAGACGATTTGCTCTCATCGACAACGAACAGGACTTTTAGTTTTCATCAATTTCAACAGAAATTTCAAGGCTACTATTGTGATTACTAAAACATAATAGCGAACGTTGTTTTCGACCATGTAAAACTTCGTGTAATAAATGCCGATTACGTACTTTGTTGCCTAAGTAGCCAAATTTTAAAAATTTCCTGAAACATAAAATGATCTAGCACTGGCTTAAGTGACTCTCAAGACTAGAAAATTGTTTGGTTTTGCTTCATGTGTTCAAACGTGGCCACACCACTATAGAAGCAACTCGTCCCGATATCAATTCGTTGGTGATTGAAGATCTCGTGAACAGAATGTATGAAGATGATATGATTCGTCTTTTAGAAATTTTCATAACGAGGTAGCAGTGGGACTAGTTGAAGCCAAGGTAGTCGAAGTATCTCCAGCAGAAACTACTTGACGTGTTACAGAAAAACTCATCATTCAGTATTTCATTGATAAGCTAGCACGAGTTTGATAAGAAAAAACTTTATTCGAGGTACGTTTTGGCGCCTTCGTCTTCTTGAGAGCTGAGTTGATCTGATTGGTTGTATACGCTTCTTCCTATTTCCGATGTGGCTCTTTGTGATCGCGTCCAGTCGAATCCAGTCGAATCTAGTCGAATCCAGTGGATTCTCGCCCGAATGAGGTAACCTCATTCGATAGTGCTCTTTTACACGGGATGGTTGTCGATATTGATTGTTCGCTGATAATCGTTTGTTTTCCTTGGGACAATCCACCCTACAGTAGTCAGTAGCATTATCAGCTAGCACAGAGCACAACAATATTTTAAAAATCGACTTTCTTTCAACCTCGGCATGAATGGTCAAAATGCAGTTTTTCATTGATCAGCTAACACGAGGTTGATTTTAAAGAAAAACTTTATTCGGCCAAGTTTAGAGAGATACACGGCTTGGTTAGCTCTCATTCACACGGTGAGCATACTTATGACGTAAGGTGGCTTTATTCGGCTCCAATCAAATCGGATCATCGGCTCTGACTGGGACGAAGACGGCGAACCTTAGCCGAATAAAGTTTTTATCAAGCTCGTGGTAGCTTATCAAAGAAAGAATACATTTCGATTACTCATGCTGCGGTTAAAGGAAAGTCGTTTTTGAAATATTGTTAGACCATTCAGGATTCAGTAGCTGTTCATTATTTAGGGTATAGGTGAAAAACGTTCACTATTGGATGCCGTATTGATTGGATGAACAGAGTTGAAGTCAATATGTATTCTTTCTTGATAAGCTTGCACGAGGTTGATAAATATATTTATTTCCGGCTAACGTTTCGACGTCTTCGTCTTCCTCAGAGCCGGTGATCCGAGTCGATGGTCCATGCCTGTTGTTCGCCTCGACGTTGCGTCTTCGCCTTCCTGTCGAGCTAGATCTTCCTCAGCGAGCCATCTTCTCGAATGAGGCATCCTCACTCAGTGATGCCCTTTTATACACGATGCTGATGGTGGATATATAATGACAATGTCCGGTGGTAACAACTTGTATTTCTTCCGGACATACATCATTGCGCACATCGTGCAGAGGTCGGTGTATTATCAGCTAGCACAAAGCGTAGTAATATTTCGAAACCGACCTTCCCTAAACCTCGGTGTGACTAATCAATATGTATTCTTTCTTGATAAGCTTGCACGAGGTTGATAAATATATTTTAAAAAAAGAGAAAAAAAGAGTTGAAGTCGTTATCGCGAAGTCTATGCGCTCCTTTAGCAGATCAATTTCTCGACCATGTTGTGAAGCAGGACGAAAATTAGATTCTATAAGGCGAACTACGAGGAC